ACAGTAGGCTGTTGCCGATGGTATCCGGCTGACAGATATTGAATATCTTGAGTAGACATCTGTTTATAAATGCCTGCATCGTTTTGATGAGGGTTGTAGTAGTTCTCCAAGTTTCAGCTTCGTACAGTAGGATTGTCTTGACGTTCGTATTGAAGATTCTCACTTTGATGTTGAATGATATTTGTTTGGAGTTCCATATGTTCTTCAACTGTAGGAACACAGGCATTGCTTTGCCAATCCTCGCCTTTATGTCTATATGTCATCCTCCTTGTTCATCGATGTTGCCTCCAAAGTACATGAAAGATTCTATCACTTCCAGGGTTTCTTCAGCAAGTGTGATTGTGTTGGTGTTCTCCATATTGTATTTGAGGATCATGATTTTTCCCTTATGTATGTTTAGGCCTACTGATGCAGCGGCTTCTGTTATATTGTTTGTCTCGACCTGCATTCGTTGGTGTGTATGGAATAGAAGATCCAGGTCGCCTGCAGATTCCGAATCATCGAGTTTCGTCTAAGCTGTCCATAATATTCCGTGCATCCCTTTTGATGTGCAGGTCTTCATAATTCAGTCAACCACCAGAAGAAAGAAACAGGGTGAGAGTAAGCAGCCCAATCTGGTTCCGGTCCTTACTTGGAATGCATCTGTCAACTGTCTTCCATGCATTACTTTGGCCTGTTCAAGAGTTCCTCAAAGTGTTCTGCCCATCTTGACTCTCGGTGCTCATATGGCTTTCTTTGTCCTTGACTGGTGTCCCTGGTTTTCTATATTTCCCTCATAGTTTCTTCGTCGTGTCATATAGTTTTTTCGTATTTCCTTCTCTCGCAAATTTTTAGCTGTTGTTGCTATCCCTTTTTTGGTTGTAAGCTCTAATACTCCTCTTCATTCTCTTGTTTGTCTCTGTGTATTCAGCTCGTTGAAATTAGATGGTTTTATTTCACCACGATAGACAACACCCAAGAATATACAAGGCGACCTAGGATAGGCTACAACTGTTGTTCGATACTTTTAGACACTGACAAGCCATAATAGTTGAGTTATAATTTCAGTTCGCCGAAATTGATCTTGCGGAGCCAAATAAATGAAAGCCTCAGAAAATTTGATTTCAGTTCAATGTGGTAGTGCACTCCTGAGTCCAGAAATCTGGGCTCTTTATTGTGGTGACTACGCAGCGCATTTCTTTTGGACATCGAGAGCTTGGGAATAAACGTATGAAAATTGCTAAGGATTTCATTTGTCTTCTGAACAGTGACTGCACCTCCATCATACGAATGACAATCCTACCAAGCTTCTATTTAATTAACAGATTTATTTGTGGCGAAATCTCCGTACCTGTACTTCCTAAATGCGATTTGATGAAAAAACAAAACAATACTGGCGGATGCTGTTAGTGAACAATGACTGCAACTACACCAGGTAATCGCAGGAATGAATGCGCATTTGTAAATCTACAACGTCGTCTAAATCGTTAGGATGTTTAATACTTCGGGTTCATACTTTGGTAACTGTCATGTTTTAGTTCTTCAAAATTCTATTTATTAACTTCTTCAACTACCTCCAAAATGGCGGCCGGTGGCAGCCCATCAAGTTTGGCATTCTGTTGGCTTCCACCCGTCTCTCATATTCTCTTCTAAAAGAAACAGTTAGCTATAGTTAGGCTGGACCGATGGAGTAGTCGAAGTTTGTGATAATAATAACAATTCATATGCATGAGGGTTGGGTTTTTGAAAAAAATGGCGTGGTAAAAATAATAATAATATATTCCTGCAAGGGCAGGTACACGCCATTTTTACAGGCATGATTTACAAACGCTTGTCAATCCCTTGCATTTTTGGCTTACTCAAACAAGGAAGAAACATTTATACCGGAATGCATAGTAAACTTGATTATCATATGATAAAAAATCATTTACCGTCATTATGCCTTGAAGGACTTAAACACTGAAGTTAATAATAAATTCTTTTTCACATAAATGCGTAACACCCATATCGGAGTTTTCCACTGATAGGAGAAATCACCATCATACCCACTGGTCTGGGTTTTTCCAGAAAATCAGCAATGATAATAATGCTCATTTGATAGAAATATCTGAAACTCGGATATCTTCTCAGTTTACGGACCAGGAGCTAGCAATACCCGGGATGTCCTTGTTTCGCAATGACAGAAAAACAGGAATTGAGGTTCAGTTAGCCTTATACTTACGATCCTGCCTGGAGGTACATCAAGTGAACAACCAAGAGTCTATCAATCCTAATAAATCCGTATAGTGCTCAGTTAGACTGTCTACCATATCGAGGTGTCTGGTTGGAGTCATCTACAGGAAGCCCACTGCTGACATCGAGTACGGTAATCGTATGCTGTAAGGGTTATCCCGCTCTACGTGTCTCGGATTCACTCATATCATGATTTTAAGGGACTTAAATCTTCCTAAATTCAATTTCGCGTAACATCAGTATATTGGAGGTGAAAGCTCTACTGAAGCTTGGTTCTTCAACCCTACCGTTGATCTGGGATTATTCGAAAATGTGAAGTCGGCAAGTCGTTGGAGAAACAGTTAGACGTCGACGCGATCGTGGACTGAGCATTCACGAACGAGGAATCCCTAATTGACAGTACCTTGATTTTGGTTCCCTTAAGGAGGAGCGATCATGCCGTCATAACCTTCAGTTTTATCAGAAAACTGGGCTAAGATATCCCAACAACAACAGGCCCTGGAATTTCAAACGGTTGAAGATGTCAGCTTTACAGGACTGTCTACAACAGGTGGATTGGGATGTTCACCCTAAACTTGATGTGGATGCTTGTTGGAATTTCTTACTGAACAGGATCTCATGTGATAAAAAGCAGTCTGTTCCTCAAATGGTCTCCAAAATCTACAAGTAAGCTACAGTCATCAAGAATCGCACTCTTTGTTTGCTAAGCCACAAAAGGCACTGTTAGGCGGGATACAGACGAACTGATAAAAACGGCGCCTTCTGGCAATACAAACATATAAGGAACATATGCACAAAAGCAATAAGAAGACAGGCTTCAATAACAGATAAAGCTTGTCGATAAATTTGTCTCTAATCCGAAAAGCTTATTCTGTTATGCAGCCTCTCTTCGACAAGCCAAAACTGGAGTTTCCGAACTGCTAAGTCCTAATGACCCGCCCCATAACGACACTGACGCCGCTAAACTTCTGCCAGAACAAAGCTCTCGGACATTTCAACCAACCCATGTTAACTATATTGATGTAACTGCACAGGACTTTCTGAAGTAAACCTGAGCGCTGACATGATGTACCGGAAACTGCAGCACCTAAAAAAGCACCTATTCTGGTCCGAATATGGTTCATTCTGCTATACTGTGGGGAGCAGCTTCAGTCCTAGCAACACCGCTTAGCGCGATGTTCTTACACTAGCTAAGCTGAGGCACAGTACCGAAAATTTGAAATCAGGCTCACAACACACCAATTTTCAAAGGAGTCTGACACAGTGAACCTTCAAGCTATCGACCGGTTGCTCTTCTCTTCGAAAATTATGAAGTCCCTGATATGCGACGGCACACACAACTATTTATTATCCTTAAACTTCTTTTTACCACAACAGCATGGTTTCAGGAACGGTCATTCTTGTATAAACAACCTGCTGACTGCAGTGGACAGATAGACAACCATCCTTGATCTTAAGGGGTAGGCTTACGTCATTTACCTTGATTTCTCAAAAGCTTTTGATAGGGTCAATCATATATGTCATATCAGTAAGCTCAAGCGATTGGGTATCAAACCACTTCCAACTGATTGGCTCACCTTATATTTAAAAAAAACGACATTTTAAGGTCAGGGTTAACTTCACTTCCAGGCTATGGACTGTCCTAGTGGGGTCCCCCAGGGTTCAGTACTAGGACCTCTTCTTTTCCTGATTTATATAAACGATCTTCCACAACAGTTATCGTCTGAGTTGTTCTTTTTTGCTGGTGATATGAAACTTCGGAGGGACATATGCAACCAAGAGGATATACTGGCACTTCAGGAGGATCCGACTCGACTTCAAAGTTGGGCAGATGACAATGGACTCACCTTTAAAACTTCAAAATGTAAATTAGTCCATCCGAGACATATTACAGACTACAGTTACAACTTAGGAAACTCCTCTCTAGAAGTATCCCAGGTTGAAAAAGACGTAAGAGTGCTTGTGCCCTACTATTTGAAGTCTTACGCTAACCGTGACAAAAATGTCTTTCGAGCAAACCTTGCACTGGTAACATTGAAGCGCATTTTTGGCCAGTTTGACGGTAGAACTTCCCACATAATCTTCTACAGTTTTATTCGTCCCCATTTAGAATATAGAAACATAGTATCTCCTCCCTCACTCCAAAATGACAAAGATACTCTGGAGAGTGTCCAACGGCGAGACACGAAATCAGTTCTCAGACTTAAATTAAAGCCTTATGAATAGCGCCTCCAATCACTAAACATTTACTCATCAGAGTATAGGCGTCTTAGAAGTGACTCTTTAATGGCTTATAGTATGCTTAATACCTCTGGACACCCCCTTAAGTTTAGCTCTAACACAAAACTAAGGGGTAACACCCAGAAACTGGAGACACAACACAGCAGAACGGATTGTAGATACAGCTCCTACTCCTTAAGGGTTGTCAAATGCTGGAATTCGCTGCCAACTGGGCTAGTCCAAGTGACTTGCCAGGAGTCCTTCAAAACTCGACCTATTCTTAAGAACTAAGAATAATATCTTACTATGATTTGCCAATTTCTTTTTCCTCTATTATCGTTAATATACCTAGGTTCCTGACTCGAGGTATTGGTGATCCACTACTACTAGACACGGAAGCCTGCTAAGCGAAAGCTTCCATCCACAACCATTTGAACCATTTGAAGTATGGAATGCACGTTGTCATTTGGCCTGTTCAAGGTCGTGGTGAAGAAGCGCGGTCGTGTTCGGAAGTCGGTTGCAAGTTCATTTAATCCGTCCCCTACATTTTGGTTAGGTAACCAGTAATTATGGTCCTGCACTTTAAGTGTGAACTTGTTCAACCTCCGTACTTTATTTACATGGGAGAAGATAAGCATGAAAATGATGAACTTATTCGTTGGGGATGGCCAGAAGATGTTTGGTTTCATGTAGATGCTCTATCATCTGCTCATGTTTACCTTCGGCTTAAAGAGGGGGAAACCTTAGATGATGTCCCCACTGCCGTTATACAGGACTGTGCACAACTGGTCAAGGAAAACAGTATCCAAGTTAGTTCGGATTTCTTTTCGGTTCACAGAAATTGCTTTCAAATTTTATATCATAAGACATACGAATTTTTTAACGGTCATTGTAATTTCCAAATCGTTTTGGGGACTGATTCACTTTCCAAAGCAAGGTTGTTTCACATATCGCAAAAATTTCGGCACTATGTACCATTTTCTCAATCCCATAGTTGATCAGACTGTTAAGTTGCATTTCAATACTCTCCGTTAGTCTTTACTTCATTTCTATCGTTCAGCTTTAAGACATGAAATCATTGCAGATTTCGATTTTTGCCTGTGCTTTACTCCGGTTTCTGGCCTAGTTACCTTTCATGACAATAATATTCTGATGTTTTGCGAAACAAGTATATGTCAAATATTTAAATTATCTTTGTCTATTCAATTCTATTGCCCTTCATATTTTAGGGTAAAAAATTTATATTTATTGTTAAGTAATATTAAAAGAATAACATGCGTTGTTAGTCACTGCTCATACATTTTTCCACCACCTGGTGTATGGTATTTATTTCCATGACCTGGCCAGTATGTAGCACAGATATCCCGCTAAAAAAGACAAGTTCATATTTAAACAGTAAGTCAATGACAACTGTCTAATTAAAGATTTGAAGACCATTAGAGCAAGATAACTGGTCTTAACTGTTATTAGCTTCTTGCTGTTCTTGTTTCTCACTTTCCCATCCAAGTTTTGTTTCCGAAGATCCCTAATTTAGTCATTTTATTGTTTCAGTCAGTCAGTCAGTCAGTAACAACGTAGAACTTCGTACGTACGTACATCAGTTCGAGTTGCCACACCACAGCACAGAGATGCAGTGGTCGATTCAAATCCCGTAGTGGTAGAGGTAATAAGAGTATAAGCAGTAATCAGGAAGATTAGTGTTTGGTGATGTTATTCAAAGAGTATAATACAGTGAAATAAATTTAGGAAGAGAAAAAAAGACAACGAGGAATAAGGCGATCAAAATTTGGGAGAACACAAAGAGTGTATGCACCTGCGCCATTACAAACGATTTTGAGCCATGTCATTCAGGGTCTCTAACCATCGATTGCTATTATCTCGCGGTCCCCAACCAGGTAGTCTATACCTGCCAACATAACTCAGTTCACTTGTCAGTGACTTCATGGACTTGTGCCGTGTTTTGGTCTGGCCGCCCCTAGCTTTCTTCCAACCTACTCCCATACCACTGAACATCGCACGTCGAGGCAGTCGGTCGTTGGGCATACGTAACACATGTCCCAGCCATCTCAAATGATGAAGTTTCACTACTTCATCAATTGATTTGCCATCCTTACCTAGTACCCGTTTCCTAACAACGGCGTTACTTACTCGGTGGTTATGCGAGCAATGCTTCGAAGACACCTATGATCGAATGCTAGTAACCTACGACTATCCTCTACTTTTACCGGCCATGTTTCACAGTCATAAAGTAAAAAGGAACGGACTGCTGCGCAGTAAACCGGTCCTTTGGTTGGTAGACGGATACCTCGCCCATGTCACAGATGACGCAAGTTGGCAAAAGCAAGTCGAGCCTTCTGTATCCGTGCTGAGATTACGTCACACACCAGACCACAAGGGCTGATGAGACTCCTGAGATAAGTGAAGCGGTCGACACGCTCAACTACTTCACTCCCTATCATTTGTTGGGGTGTCGGTGCAACCCAATCCTGAAGAAACATTTTGCATTTCGAGGGGGAGAATCGCATGCCGAACATAGTTGGATTGTTGCTTATAGTGGTCAGAAGACTCTGCATTTTATCAGCATCTTCACCAAATAAAACTATGTCAACAAGTGAATCTCCCGGTAAAAGTTTAACTCCTGGAAATTTAGATGAAGAAAATGTTGTCTCTGAAAGCACGTGTCAACGACAAAGTCATACAAGAATAGAGAGAGTGGACAGTCCTAACGAACAATACTGGAGGTAATCAATTCTGATGACAGTTCGCCATAAGCTCTCACTCGACCTGTTGTGTTTGAGTAGAGAGCCTTTATAAGGTTAATGTACTTCTTTGGTACTCCTTTCAGTGACAAACTGCCATAGAACCTCACGATCAACAGAGTCAAATGCCGCCTTAAGGTCGAAAAATACTACTATTGTGATGCGTCTAAATGTGTGTCTATGTTCTAGGGCCTGACGTGGTGTGAATATGTGGTCTATACAACCACGTCCAGCTGGAAAACCAGCCTGATTTTCTTTAGTCTGCTCTTCACGAGCTTTAGTTAGGCGTCGAAGTATTATTGAATCTAATATTTTAGACACTATAATTGTCAAACTGATTCCTCTGTGATTGTCACAAGAGGAATTTTGTCCTTTCTTATAGACTGGCACAATCAGTGATTGAGACCAGTTAGATGGGATTACGTTTAGTTCCCAAATTCTGCCTAGGAACTCAGACGATCTCACTGCTAATACTGGACCACCATCCATAAAAATCTCAGGAGTAAACCCGTCAGGGCCTGCTGCTCTTCCTTGTTTCAGGTTTCCTATAACTCACTCAACTTCATAAAGAGTCGGAGAACCTGCATTAGCTTGCCATTCTGGTCGACTGGAGATCGTGGAAAACTAAAGTGTGGCTGAAGGCCAGTTGAACTGATCCCTAAAGTGTTCTGCCCATCGATCCAATCTCCTGGATTGAGAATGTATAATATGTCCATCTTTCTCTGAGAGTGTTTTGCTAACAGTCGGTTTCCTTAACAAGTCTGAACAATTGTCTGCTATTACCTATTGCCGCTGCCTTTTTCATCTCTCTTGTTTTCGCTACCCACCACTATTTGCGATTATTGCGTAGGCTTCTTATCAGCCTGCGCTTAAGCTGACTCTGCTCTTCGTTATGTTCAGAGCCAGATGGAATGAGTTTCCGAGCATCTATCAGTGCGGTAGATGCTGCTGAGATCCAGTGTTGCTCCCTAACATTACGTGTTACCATACTAGCAGATATCACTGTTGTTTCCGCAGCTTTTCGGATATTCCACGCTCCCTCAATGTGAGCATCACTTATAATGGCTGCCTAACTGTTTTTCTAGTTGTTCCTGAAATACATTCTTAGCTTGGCTATCATTAAGTAGGACCCTAGGAGGTTTCCTTGCATCATCTTTCCTACGTCCAGTAAGACGCAGACAGATACGCGCTCGCACTAGAGCATGATCTGAATCTAAGCATGTGCTCCAGAATGAGCGACAGTCTTCAATCGAGCCTCTCCATCGGTGGTTGCTATGTCAAAAGATGTTTTTTCTTATCCTTAAAGATAGTATTTACAAGAAACAGACGGTCGCCATTATCTGTTCTTTGAGCCACGACTATAAGATCCACCCAGGTGTCTTTCCCTATCGCTTAGTTTACCTACTTGAGCATTAAAGTCACTGGCCATTATTACTACATCCGAGCGCCTAGCTTTTCGGAAAAGGTCGGAGAGCTTTCTGTAAAACTCATCTTTTACATCATCTGTGCTGCAGTCAGTGGGAGAATAGGCAGAGACGACGAAGAGGCAACGACGAGTGTCACTATCTTTCCGAGTCCTCACTGTTCCGTTTAGTCGGACAGCGCACGAACGACGGTCTACTGGGATCCAGTCTAAGAGAGCTAGTTTTGCCCTAGGACTCAATGCTATACCTGCGCCGGCGAGTCCACGAGAAGCAGCATCTGGGCTTCCGGATACACGAAGCATCGATCGAAATGGTTCTTTATTTTGACATAGTGAGGTCAAATGAATGACGCTACTCGGATCCTTTACGCGCGTTTCGGAGACGCAGCACACATCAATGGCGCGGGATTCTAAAGTCTTAGCCAAGGAAGCCTGTTGTTTTATTTGGCACAGTGTTCGGACTTTGAGAGCTCCTACATGTAGTTTAGAGCGTGGTTTTAGGAGATCAAGAATAACGTTCCGCGTACTCGAATCGTTTGCCCTAGCGGTGCGAGGTGATAAAGGGACGTGAGAAGGGTGTCGCGGAAGAAAAGATAGTTATTAGGAGGTGTAGGAAGGATTTGAATGTGACCAACTTGTTCTCGTGTGTTGTCACAGGTATGAAAGCTGATATCACTTCCCGGCTGTCCATATCGTGGAAGGGTATTTCTTGAGGAACCTGAAATGGGAATTGGATTAGTGTTGGTCTCAAAGACCTGGGAGCGTGACCGCAGAGCCCACAGGGCAACTACTTGAGGCCGGTCTCGCACGGCCCTTTTGTTTTTTTAACGTGTTAGCTCCGTTCTTCAAAGGGCTTTACCGCCGGAGACGGAAATCCGTGAGGTAAGGTGAGGCGTGACATTTTTAGGGTCGACCTTTTCTAACCCCACCCCTCCTTGTGGGAAGGCAGCATCGCTGCAGATGCTGGTTGTCTGAGGGAAACACCTTACTGCTGTCACACCTCTCTACAGTCAGCAGTACGACTTCGCCCTCAGACCTTGAGTTGCTGCTTTGAGTCTTACCGTTCTCCAATCGATCTGCCTGGCATGGTAGAACCTACAGGAGCATATGTTCCAGCCAATATAGCTCGGTTTGGTCATCACGATAGGCAAGTCCGACCACCGCGTCGACGTAGCAGAAATACAACTCAGCATAGTCTATTCTTGGTATTAAGTCTCACTTTATACACTAAGAGATCAAATAAGATGTCTATACTTAGGGTTATAACTGATATCAAACTCTTTATTGTACATTAGTTAAGTAACGACAGTGGTATCAATACATTTATCGTTAATGATTAAGAATATCATCAGGCTTATAATTTACTATTGTGTTTGATATCACATTGACAATAAAGCACAACAAAAGTTCATAGATATTTCATCACATGCTTTCAATGTATAATGTACACCTTTAGATCTTTAGGTCAAAGGCTCCGGGTGTGGCCTCCTAAGAAAACCACCTGCTTCGGTTTGGGCACCCGGGCAGTATCCCAGACCTCACACAAATCGAATGATTTATGTGGTGCATATCTACTTCCATCTCCTTGTACCAATGTCTATGCGTTTAAATAAGATATTAAAATAAAAATATGTACACCTGATGAGGCTACGCAATAAGCGTTTACTCTGGACTTTGAGTTCTAGAGAGTGAAAGTACGACATCAACTAAATTTGCAGATTGTAAGGTTGAAGTCCACTAAAATTTATTGACTGTGTATTATGTATCATCCTTAATCTTATGACTACCCTATTTCCAAGAAACATTTAGGACCCAAATCTAATGTATTGTTCAGAAGTTGCTACATTCGATACCGGTGGGGTTTGCCTATCGTGATGAACCAGTCGAGCTATACTGGTTGGAATAATCGTTCCTCTAGGTCTTACCATGTCAGACAGTCAGTTGAAGAGCGGTAAGACTAAAAGCAGCAAGTCCAAGGTCCGACGGCGAAGTCGTCCTGCTGACTATACAGAGGTGTGACAGCAGTAAGGTGTTTCCTTTAGACAACCAGCATGACAGCGATGCTGCCTTCACACAAGTAAGGGTGGGGTTAGAAACGGTCGACCCTAAAAGTGCACAGCTCGCCTTATCCCACAGATATCAATCTCCGGCGGTAAGGTCCCAACAAGTACGGAGCTAACATAAAAAATGCCCACAGAAAGGTCTTGTGCGACCGGCCTCGAGCAGCTTTCCCTTGGACGCTGCGGTCACTCTCTCAGGTCACTAAGACCACCACTAACCCAATTTCCTTTTCAGGTACCTCCAGAAGAAACCTTCTACGGTGTGGGCAACCGGGAAGTGATAACCGCCCTCATACCTCTAACAGCACTCAAGACCACTCTTTTCATAATCAACCTCCCTCCTCAATTCCTACTATTCCTCCTACATTGGCCTTTAACTCCAAACTTCCTCTTTCGGCTTTCTCCTCAAGTGTCACCGTGTACAACGATTCTAGTGCGCGAAACGCTGCCCCAGGTCTACTGGAACCTCGCTCCAAACTACACATTGAAGCCTTCAACGTACGCATCCTCTTTAGCTGAAACCCTAGAATCTCATACAATTGATGTACGCTGTGTCTCCGAAACACACATACAGGATCCTAGTGTGATCACTCACTTGACCTCACCTCGGTGAAACGGAGAGCCAACGAGATACACCCTCCGTTTATCTGGCGACCCAATAGCTAGTTCTCGTGGACTGACGGGTGTAGACATAGCACTAGGCATGAGGGCGGAACAAGCACCATTAGAATGGATCCCCGTTAATAGTCGTGTATGTGTTGTTCAGCGGAACGGCTCCATAAGAATTCGGGAGGATAGAGACATACGTTGTTTCTGCCTACGCTGTCACTGACTGCAGCTCGGATGAAGTGAAAGATGAATTTTACAGAAAGCTTTCTGAACTTCTTCAGAAAGCTAAACGCTCAGACATAGTACTCGTAGGGGGTGACTTTAATGTCTAAGTAGGTAGCTTAAACCAAACAGAAAGACATTTAGGTGGGCATTTTAGTATTCTGGCACAGCGAACAGATAATGGTGATCGTCTGCTGTAACTGTGCACAGACGATCGTTTATTTTAGCAAACACAAATTTTAAGCATAAGGAGAGACATCGTCTAACATGGTGACCCCCTGCACCAAACCAACGATGGACTCAAATAGACCATATTGCCATCTGTCATTGTTGGAGAGCGTCGATAGAAGGTTGTCGCTCATTCTGAAGTACTTGCTTGGACTCCGACCATGCCCTAATACGGGCACGCATCTGCTAGCGTTTCTCTGGACGCAAAAAAGCCTCACAAAAAGGACCCATTAGAACTGAATTGAGTAACGAGAAAACCAAAAGTAGGTTCCAGGAACAACTGAGGTCATGATTAGGTAGTTGTGAAGACGAGGCTGACCCAGATGTTGCTTGAAATGAAATACAAGCAGCTGTGGAAACAGCAGTGACATCTATTAGTGATTTAGACCAAAAGGTCACGAAAAATCAGTGGATTTCTACTAAGTCTTTAGCACTGATAGATTATCGTGAACTTATCCCATCTGGCTCCGAACACGATAAAGAGCGAAAACAAATCAGATATAGCTTAACCAAAAGTCTAAGGAACGACCGTGAGCAGTGGTGGGCAACGAAAGAAAAAGAGATGGAAAAGGCAGAGACTGTAGGTTTTATTTATTATTTTAACACATAGATATTGGTACAAGAAGGCATCAAATACATATGCGCCACAAAAATCTTATTCGATATGTGTGAGGTCTGTGATACTGCCCGGGTGCCCAAACCGAAGCAGGTGGTTTTCTTAGGGGGCCACTCCCCGAGCCTTTGACCTAAAGGTCTGATCCACAAGGCAGTGGAGCATCGTAAGGCGATGCAGTCCCATGGTAGCCGGTGACCAGCGATTGGTTCATACGCCATTTGTTCCCGCAGGATACTGGAGCCCATGTGCACCATCAGTTTGGGATCCGGTTAAAGCGCCGGACATTCGCTTTTCGTCCTCTCATTTTTGTAAATAATACCCCCGCCACGAGAAGGCAGTGAGTAGGACTTCCCTGGTAGAGGCTATATACGCGTGGCCATGTGAGAGCATTTCGAGAGGGAGAGCGGACTCTCCCCACTCTCGGCCATACCAGGGCATTTAGGGGCTTTTTAGACTAATAAAAGAAACTGGAATACAGAAGTCAAGTGTGAGACGATGTAAGAAAAAGACAACACTCTTATCTACTGTCAGCCCAGATGTTTAGAACGATGGGCGGAACACTTTAAGGAGCAGTTCAGCTACTATACAACTACCCTCCATTCCCAAACAGTCTGAATTGAACAATAAAGTAGGTCCCCCGACTATAACTGGAGTTCAGAAAGCCATAGCTAATCCGAAACGAGGAAAAGCAACTGGTCCAGATAGATCGACTCCAGAGGTGTTTAAGAGTAGTGGTCCGGTTTTAGCGACTAGGCTGACTAATATTTTAGCTAAAATCTGGGAACTGGATGGAACCCCATCTGGCTAGTTGCAATCACTGATTGTCCCACTATATATGAAGGGGTCAAAGTCATCCTGTAATAACCATAGAGGGATTAGTTTGACTAATATAGCATCTAAAATACTAGTCTCAATAATTATCGGATGCCTAATAAAGACTCGTGAACTGCAAACATGAGGAAATCAGGCTGGCTTCAGACCTGGTCGTGGCTGTATCGACCACTTATTCACCATTCGTCATATGTTGGAACGCAAGTATGTTTGTCGGCGTCCGACGATGGTGGTCTTTCTTGACTTAAAAGCAGCATTTGATTTTATAGATCGAAAAGTTCTGTGGCAGTGTCTGTTATTGAAAGGTGCACCTCAGAAGTACACAAACTAGTCAAATCAGAGCTTATAGCGAACTATCATCTGATTTTGCAACCTTGTGTAGTTCCGTCAAGGCTATCCAATATCTCCATTTTTGTTCAACTTCATCATAAACCTAGTGGGGAAAATAACGTTCTCGTCGACTGAATTTTCGTGCATTGATCTACCAAGAGGTCCACTTATCGACTTAGAATGCGCAGATGACATAGTCGTGTTTGGTGAAGACGCTGGTAAAATGCAGTCTTTTGATAGCACTGAGTAACAACACCAGAATGTTTGAGATTCGTTTCTCCTTCTCTAAATGCAAGTTTTTGCTTCAGGACTGGTCTGCATCAACACCTGAACTAAGGATAGGGAGTGAAGTAGTCGGACGCGTCGATAACTTCACTTATCTTGGAGGTCTGATCAGCCGTGATGGGTTGGTGTCTGATGAAATCTCTGTGTGGATTCGAAAGGCTCGTTTGGCTTTTGCCAAATTACGTCACCTATGGCGAAGGCGAGATATCCGTCTATCAATTAAGGGACGGGTATACTGTGCGGCAGTTCGTTTTGTTCTACTTTATGGCTGCGAATTGTGGTCATTAAGAGTAGAGGATACTCGTAATCTACTAGTATTTGATCACAGATGTCTTAGAAATATTGCTGGCATCTGCTGGGTTCACCGGGTAAGTAATATTAAGGTTAGACGCAAGTTATTAAGCAATGATGGTAAATCAGTTGATGAGGTTGTGAATCCTCATAGGCTAAGATGCCTGGGCCACGTGTTACATATACCTGAACACCGATTACCACGACACGCATTGGCTCAGAATCGATTACAATGGCGGTGTATATACTCTTTGTCTTCCCTTAAACCGTGAGATTAAAATTACTTTATACCTTTCTTTTTACGAAGTAATTCTTTTTTCCTGTATTATATCCTTATACACAATCTTTCTTTTATACATTACTACCATTGAAGTAATTACTTCTATGAATTTGGTGTTCACCTTGTTGTGCTAATGAGGTATGGCAACTTGTACTGATGCATATATGTGCCTGGTTCCACCTTGAACGCAACCCTTATATGAAGTTAAAATCACTATATAGCGGTGTACATTTCGTGTGCACTTGTATTTGCAATAAGTTTAGGTCGGTTTCAAACATTATTTTGAAAAGTCATTTACAGTTTGCTAGGTTTATTTAACTTCCTGCAAGAAAGTTAGGAATGTTTCTTTTTTCTGTGGTTCTCTTCGAATTATCCTTCCTCAGACCGCTTACTGTAAAGTGGATGAACATGATTTGGAAAGATGTAGTTTTGCCATTTTAAAGATAAACCATTTAAAATACTCCACCTAAACGTGATAGTGATTCAACTCTTTATTCCTCATAGACCTTTATAGTGTGTATACTGGCGAAAAAAAGTCCCGAGTTTGCATTTTTAGCTCATTAAGACGGGTATATCGACATTTTGATGTATTATAAGCGTGTTTTTTTCTTTTTAATGACTATTTTCTGTCTATATTACAACTTTTAAACATGTACTTTTATAGGGTTGCAAACTTAACGATGTCACTGTTGTATATACCAAGTGGGAGAACCTGAAAAAAACCAATGATATGGATGTTGGCCAAGTAGCCTTTCACAATAATAAAGCAGTGCAAAAGATCGTAGTTGAAAAACGCAATGGAGATGTAATAAAACGACTAAATAAAACAAAAGAGCAATGCCAACATCCTGATTTAAGAGGTGAACGAGAAAAGCGAGATATCCGCATTAAAAACAAAGAAAAAGCTGTTCTGGCTGCTAAGAAAAAGTCAGAACTTGAGGCACAGAAAGTCCGTGCAGCAGAAGCAGAAAAAAGATCATACGATCGTTTGTTTGTTGAGAGTAAAATGAGGACAAATGAAGATGGCTATGATTCAGATGACTTCATGTAAAAAATAAATATGAATACCTTCCTACTTCTAACAGTGTCTCATCTCTTAACTTTATTTTCTACTTATCGGTTACTTTTTCTGAATTGTCGATCATGTAATAAAAACCCTTTTGGTTTACTTGTATATTATATAATGTGAATTTTCTTCCATGCTTGGTGAAACTAAGTTTCGGGTGCTAAACGATATAATTGTGATCATGAACCGATCAGTGCTAGACCACGATTGAAAACCTGAAAGCACTTCTGATGAGTCTCTTACTAGGACGAAACGGTAGTCCAGTGCTTCCAAGTTTTCATTGGTGGTCTAACTTTGATCGGTTCATGATCTCAATTAAAACTCAACCATTTCCACAACTCTATACTAATAAACAATATATTTTAATGGTTTGAACATCCACGCGCTATTTTTCAAAGGCTTGGTTTGAAGCATGGAATATTTTGTTTTCGTACTCAAAATAGCATTTCGCAGAAGGCAATTTTTGGTCAGTCATGGACAATATAAAACCTAGCAAAAATGTTTATAAGTCTGATTAACAATATGTTCAGTTTCGGAATAGCTTTTGTGCTTCCTCTATTTATAAATGTAGAATGATCAGTATAAGCGAACGTACATTAGACTCTAATTTGAAAATAATAAAAGGACTCAGCTGTGTTTTTTAATAGGGGAGCTGTAGTTTATGTGCTTGTTGACAGTTGTAGATAAGTTTCAGTGTAGTCTCGGAATGATGCCGATGGAATATTTCTGACAGTTGATAGTTTTGGCTTGCTTAAATGCATGCTCCACTGCGTTTTCCTTGACTAAAGACTACACTACGGCTTACATATATTCTTTTTACGCAACTAGGTTGTGCATTTTCCTATCTGTCTGTCAGCAAAACGAGCTCTAAGCGGGTGTGATGCAAGTAGATCTCTGATTTAGCTGTGAAAGTAAGCTTGGACTTAGGATTACATATGGAAGCTGGAGTCATGATGATCGGGTAAATATGACATTGGTTGGACAGCATAAATGTGTGGTTCTTTTAATTCTGTGAATGAATAATACCACTTGGAATTCCGATAACTGCGTTTTGCACTCTGAAGCCTCATGACCCTTAACCTTAGTTTCTTTATAGCACTACAAAATGAAGTTCTCTCTTTCTTCCCACTAGACTTATTCTCAATCATGAGGAGCCTGATACATACAAAATGTTCTGTCCCCACAAACACGGGTGGATTGAAGTTATCGCCCTCACCATCAATGCTTGCTGGTCAGTAACTCCACCCTCCCTCCTTTTGTAGTGTTTGGCTCATTTAGGCTTATTTTTGTATATACGTCATACCTCACACAATCCTCTGTTTCACAACCTGTTGGAAAGCACTATTTCTATTAGTACCATTTTACAAGCTTATCAGGCAGTTACAAGCTATGAACTGTGGGTAAAGCATCTATGCAGTGCCTCTGTTGACTGTAGTATAAAGTATAGTTTGCCAATCAGAGTATAAGCGTTAAGAAGGGTATATTGTAGGATAGTTGTTGTAAAGAAGGATTTTAGATTCATTTTAATAGGAATTATGGAGAATAAAGCCAAGGAATTTCCGCATTTTGGATGCTTTTGCTGAGATGTTTTCAGAGATATTAAGACTGTGTGAGTAATGTACCCCTAGGTCAGTTACTGATGCCAGTCTGGGCAGTGTGTGATTGCTAAGTGTTTCATTTTAAGAGATGTGTCTTCTATACATAACCAGCCTCATTTCTCTGTGTTGAGCTCTAACCACCAGCGTTTGCACCAGTTGTCTACCATGTTGGATTGTTTGCATAGTACTGCGTAAATCGCAAATGTCAGTTTTATAGATGACTTTTAAGTCATCGGCATAGAGGTAGGTCTTACCTGTGCTAAAACACTTGCATATATTGTTGATGTAGATTATAAAGAGCAATGGACCCAAGACACTACCCTGCACAACACCACTGGTTATTGGTCGAGGTGTAGATGTTTTAGAGTTAATGTTATTTATTTGATATTTGTTCGTAAGGAAAGACTTGATCCATTGCAAAAGGGGATTTATAATTGCAACTGACTTAAGTCTGTTGATTAGAAGATTATGAAGTACTTTATCAAAGGGTTTCTTAATATCGAGGTATAGTATGATAACTAGTTTCTTCTGGTCACGTATACGAGTAACCTCGTTAAAGAAGTCTATCAGGCATGTACTGCACGACCTTGTTCTAATGAAGCCGTGTTGTGACGGGTCTATTAGATCTTCCTTGAGTAGGTGATCAGATAGTTGATTTTGTATCACTTTTTCCATTATGCGTGATATGACTGGAGTGATATTTATAGGTCTGTAGTTTTCAACCAGGTTTCTCGGTCCGGATTTGTGTTTGGGAAGAACACAGGTTACCTTCCAGGTTTCCGGATATGTACCTGTCTCTAAAGATAATGTGTATATTTTGAGTAGTAGCGTCTGTATGTCCGGTCCTGACATTTTATAAACGATTGAAGGGATGTCATCGGCACCAGAACTTGCATTTGGCTTAAGGGTTTTAATGGCGGTATGTATACTCCTAATGTCGAAGTTTATGGTACTAAGATAGTTTTTGCCGGTGCACTTTATGTCGATATCTGGAGCATCAGATGTATTCCCATTGTGAGAAAACCATTCACTTAAAAGTTCACATATGACGGTTTGGTCATTATACGTTACTCCATCGTGCAGTAAGGAGTGAATGTTGTGGTCTGTGTTCTTTCTTATGCGTTTCGTGAGGAGACGACATAGGGCTTGGGCTTTAGATGCAGCAGCGAGCGCAGTACGTTCCTCTACCCGTTTGTGCTTGTTGTGTTGACTTTGTACTCCGTCAAGTACAGAGTATATCTGGTGCAGGGCACTGAAGTCTTTTGATATTTAGTACATCCTTTTCGGTTTTCGTAGTTTAGACCTAGTCTTTTAGTTTACATAGGGAGTAATTGTTTTAAAACCAATTTTAGAGGGTATAGTAGTGTCTAGTGCAGATTTGGTGGTGATATTGAATATTTCTAATGTTTCTAAGAGGTTATTACTGGTAAAGAAACTGCCCCAGTCAGAGTGCTTTATTAGAAATCGAAAGTTTTCCCAGTCAGCGTTTGCATAGTCTCTATATTGGAATCGCGTGTTTAATGTCTTTAATTTGTTGCATATGGCAAGAATTAGGATTTAAGGTTAGGTTAAGATTAGGGTGCTAACATGCGATCGGTTTACATCGGATTTTAGAGAAGATGTTTCTACTTACAGGCTACAACCCTAACCACTAACTCTATGGACGAGTTTCTATATAATATTCATTATGAATTCAGAGCCTCTGAACCTTTATCAAACCTTAACAAGTTTTTAAGTCATGTAAAAGAAGAATATCCACTGTAATTCATTACTTACTTACAATATATTCTCACTTTATACCAACTGTCTTCTGATTGGCTAATAATTGTCAAGCTCACTTAAGATTCGTTCAAAGGTCGTCCTTAAATTAGAGTCTCGCCAGTTTTTGTGCATTTCGTATCACTGGACCTTTTATGTAAATGTATTGCATGGGTGCCATCTCTGTAGCTTAACCTGTATTTAATGTTGTAAAGTGTGAAGTGTGGTTTGCACGTTTATAAATTTGTTTTGCTTTTTGTTGTTGTAAATAGATGTAGGAGGCGAGACACTAATTTATGGACGAGACAATCAGAAGCGTTTGAGCAATTTCAAGTTCACGGAGCCAAGTTCAATACGCGCTGCTAACATACGATCGGTTCATATCGGATTTTAGAGAGTAGGTGATTAATGAGAGGCTACAACAGATGGGACGGCGAAACTATAATTTAGGGACGAGCCAATGAGAAGCGTTTGAGCAATTTCAATTATTAGCCAATCAGAAGACAGTATAAAGTAAAAATATATTACAAGAAAGTAATGAATTACAGTGGATATTCTTCTTTTACATGATTTAAAAACTTGTTGAGGTTTGATAAAGGTTCAGAAGTTCTGAATTCATAATGCATATTGTATAGAAACTCGTCCATAGGGTTAGGGTTTGGGGTTAAAATTAGGGTTAACGGTTAGGTTAAGGTTAGGGTTTAGGGTTAGATTAGGGTTTAGGGCTAGGGTTAGGGTTAGATTAGGATTTGGGGTTAGGTTAAGGTTAGGGTTTAGGGTTAGATTAGGGTTTAGGGCTAAGGTTAGTGTTTGGGGTTAGATCTGGGTTTAGGGCTAGGGTTAGGGTTATATTAGGATTTAAGGTTAGGTTGAGGTTTAGGGTTAGATTAGGGTTTAGGGTTAGGTTAAGGTTAGGGTTAGATTAGGATTTAGGGTTAGGTTAAGGTTAGGGTTAGATTAGGGTTTTGGGCTAAGGTTAGGGTTTTTTGGTTAGATTAGGGTTTGGGGTTAGGGTTAGGTTTGGTTAGGGTTAGATTAGGGTTTAGGGCTAAGGTTAGGATTTTTGGGTTACATTATGGTTTGGGGTTTGGTTAAGGTTAGGGTTTAGGGTTAGATTAGGGTTTAGGGCTAGGGTTAGGGTTAGGTTAAGGTTAGGGTTAGATTAAGGTTTAGGGTTAGGTTTGCTTAGGGTTAGATTAGGATTTAAGGTTAGGTTAAGATTAGGGTGCTAACATGCGATCGGTTTACATCGGATTTTAGAGAAGATGTTTCTACTTACAGGCTACAACCCTAACCACTAACTCTATGGACGAGTTTCTATATAATATTCATTATGAATTCAGAGCCTCTGAACCTTTATCAAACCTTAACAAGTTTTTAAGTCATGTAAAAGAAGAATATCCACTATAATTCATTACTTACTTACAATATATTCTCACTTTATACCAACTGTCTTCTGATTGGCTAATAATTGTCAAGCTCACTTAAGATTCGTTCAAAGGTCGTCCTTAAATTAGAGTCTCGCCAGTTTTTGTGCATTTCGTATCACTGGACCTTTTATGTAAATGTATTGCATGGGTGCCATCTCTGTAGCTTAACCTGTATTTAATGTTGTAAAGTGTGAAGTGT